TGGTACCAGCTACTTGGGAGGCTGAGGCGGAAGAAAAAGGGAAGGGAGGGAGAAGGGAGGGAAGGGAAAAGGGAACGGAAGGGGGAAGGGAAGGGAAAAGGGAAGGGAAAGGGAGAGAATGATGAAGGAAATAAAAAAAGAGAAAGAAAGGAAAGAAAGAAAAAGAAATTTGGCCAGAAACAGTGGCTCAGGCCTCCAGTGGGAGGATCACTTGATCCCAGGAGGTTGAGGCTCCAGTAAGCCGAGATGATGCCACTGCACTTCAGCTTGGGTGACAAAGTGAGACCCTGTCTCGAATAAATAAATAAATAAATAAATAAATAAATAAATAAATAAATGTAAGAAGGTAGTATAGTATAGTGGTTAAGAGTGTTAATGGCTGGGTGCACTGGCTCACACCTGTAATCCCAACACTTTGGAGGCCGAGGTAGAAGGATCGCTTGGGCCCAGGAATTCCAGACCAGCCTGAATCCACTTATTTAAAAAAAAAAAAAAAGTGTTAATACTAGAAGAAATGGATTCTTATACCTGTTCCACTGCTTTTAGCTGTGTGACCTTAGGCAGATTATTTAATCTCTCTGACCCTTATTATTTTATCTGTACAATAGAGATATTATAGTCTGCCATTAACATCCTGTTTTGTAATTTACATTAACCACTTGATGTGTAGCGTATTCTTACTGAAAAATCTGTTTTGACAACTTTTGTTTTGGTTCAGGTTTTGGAGGCTAGAGATGGAGAAAAGAATTCTTTAGATTTATTTTGCATAACTAAACAGAAAACATGGATTAAGATTTGGAATAAGTTACAGGGAGGAGGGCTCATACGATTTGTCTTTTGCGAAATTTAGTCAATTTAAGAAGACCCTAAGAATCAGTTGAAGACTGGGGCCTCCACCTCACTAAGTTAAAGAGAAAAGTCAAGCTGGGAACTGCTTAGGGCCAACCTGCCTCCCATCTATTGAAAGTCACCCCTCTGCTCACTGAGATAAACGCGTATCTGATTGCCTCCTTTGGAGAGGCTAATCAGAAACTCAAAGGAATGCAACCATTTGTCTCTTATCTACCTATGCCCTGGAAGCCCTCTCCCCAATTAGTCTTCCTGCCTTTGCTTTGAGTTGTCCCGTCTTTTCAGAACGAACCAATGTTCATCTTACATATGTTGATTGATGTCTCATGTCTCCCTAAAATGTATATAACTAAACCGTGCTCTGATCACCTTGGGCACATGTCTACACAGGACCTCCTGAGGCTGTGTCACGGGCGCGTGTCCTCAACTTTGGCAAAATTAACTTTCTAAATTAGCTGGGACCTGTCTCAGATTTTGGGGGTTCACAAAAGGATACAAGAAGGTCTGTCATTTAGCAAGCTTCCAAAATGCAATTTTAGGTTATTCAACTGCTAAGCAACTCTTTACATGTATCTCCAGTGCAAAGGAGGGTACTTCTGAGTAAAGAAGTTTTCGTTTTTTTTTTTTTTCTTTTTTTGTTTTTGTTTTTTTTTGAGACGGAGCCTTGCTCTGTCGCCCAGGCTGGAGTGCAGTGGCGCGATCTCGGCTCACTGCAACCTCCGCCTCCCAGGTTCACGCCGTTCTCCTGCCTCAGCCTCCCGAAGAGCTGGGACCACAGGCGCCCGCCACCACGCCCGGCTAATGTATTCCGTTTTTAGTAGAGACGGGGTTTCATCGTGTTAGCCAGGATGGTCTGGATCTCCTGACCTCGTGATCCGCCCACCTCGGCCTCCCAAAGTGCTGGGATTACAAGCCTGAGCCTCTGTGCCTGGCCAAAAGTTTTTGCTTTTAATTGCCCAGGGCCACTCCTAAGAAACAACAGTCTCTGAAGGGTAGATAAGGTAGTGGTACCAAGAGAAGCGTTACTCAGCAAGCCTTCAAAAATACAAAAATAGCTTACTGTTTTTGAAAGTTTGCAAGTTTTTCTTATTCAACCCCATCCTATGGAAATATGCCAGTTGGAATAAGCAACTACAGAACCACAAAGGACGGCACTATTAGAAAAACAGATTAAATCTTTATCCTGGCAATGAGTCTAATAAATTAATCATTGTTGTGAATTTAAGAAGGTGTAGCAGGCCGGGCACGGTGAGCCACCGCGCCAGGCCTGATCAAGAGGCTTTCCACTTCCTCAACCTAAGGAGTAAGTCTTTCATGCTGCTTCTAGGAGAAAAAGTACAAGAAAAGCAAGACTTCCTCGTTGCCTTCTCTTTAAAAAGCAATAGCCGATGAACATGTCTTGGAGCGCTCTCGCCTTGATAGAATTAAAGATCTTCAGAATAACCTAGCGTGGTGGTCGAAGCGTCTCGCCTTAGCTCATTAGGATGCCACAGTTTCTCGGCCCACAAGTCGGCTTTTAACCACTTTTCTCCGCAAAAGGCCAGGCCGGTCTTCACGCGTTAACTAAGGCAAGCGTCTGGCCCCGTGTGAGAGACGTCTAAGTTCATGGCATCAGGGAATTCCCATCGCGCGTACCGTAATAGAAGACGGCGAGGTTCCTCACCTAACCCATAATGCTCAGCTCGCCTTTCCGGAAGCAAGTACTATCACCCCGACAATGCCTTTATCCGAGCGGAAGCGTCTCGTCCTGAGTCTGATTGGAAGTGACGAAGCGAGGTATTGTGGGACTTTGTCCGTCGCCCAGTACGCATGTGCCCCAGCCGGCGTCTCCCGACTCTTGGAGCCACGTCCAGACGGTGGCGTCGTCGAGAGATGCACGTCAGCGAAACTGGCCAATCCCCTGAGCGCGCAAGCGCAGTGGCTTGGGCGCACCGGAAGCGCAGGGGGATGGGGAGGCGGTGACGCGATTCTGTCCGCGTTGGAGGGGCCGGGCCGCTGCTGGAGTCGCCACGGCCGCCGCGTGACGTGGCACAGCCAGATCCTAAAGGCTAGAGCCGGAGCTGCCGCGCCAGTCGCCTAGCAGGTCCTCTACCGGCTTATTCCTGTGCCGGAGCTTCATCAGCACAGCGGCCAGCGAGACGGGCCTGCCTCCCCCTTTCTTCCTCCGCTCTTTCTCTTCCCTCTCTTTTAGTTTGCCTGGGAGCTTGAAAGGAGAAAGCACGGGGTCGCCCCAAACCCCTTCTGCTTCTGCCCATCACAAGTGCCACTACCGCCATGGGCCTCACTATCTCCTCCCTCTTCTCCCGACTATTTGGCAAGAAGCAGATGCGCATTTTGATGGGTGAGTGAAGGGCTGCGAGTCGAGGCGGGACCTGGGAAAGGCAGGATCTCTACAATTCAGGTGGCCTCTGGGCCTGTTTTTCTCTCCGCCCGCCGTGGTGGGGGAGGGGCGCCGGGTCGGGGGTCGGGAGGAATTCTTAAGGGGGAACAATGGAGCGGAGGGTGAGCGATCCCTCCCCAGATCTGTTGCCAGACGAGGCAGCGACAGGGTTTTGGGCAAGGTTTCTTCTTTCTGGACTTGACTTTTTCCCCTTGATCTTATTGAAAGCTGGACAACATTAGGCAGAGATGTGGGGAAAGCCAACTCTGGGAAGCAAACACTTGGCGAGGCCCTTTCTGGGGGTGCGATCTGCATACCTTCTTGCCCGGGTGTGGACAGCCGTCAGGGGGAAGGCAGAGCCACTCTAGCCTTTTCCTTCCCACTCTGCGCTTCGTGTACAGTCCCTGCACAGTCCGTTGGTATGTGAGCCAGCGGCCACCCGGAGCCTGGAGTCGCCCGGGGCAGGAAGTTGCGGTGGCCAGGGAGCACCCAAGGTTTCCTAAGAGTCTGGAGTCCTTCAGCGCCCACTTTGCTAAACTTGGCCTGCGCTGGATTCCCTTTCAAGTTTTTCCCTCCTTGTTAATCTCATTCTCCGAAAACCAAGCTTATCTTCTATTTCTTTGGCTATTTTCAAAAACTTTAAATGTATTTGGTTTGTTCTCCTAGGTTTTCAAACTTATTTAGCCGGCTTAAAGTCTAATGCAAAAAAAAAATTAGAAACGAATTTTTAAAAAATACCTGATAAATTTTCAGTAACTGAACTGAACAGAACATCATGACGCTGAATTTTAAGGTAGCCTTGTTAATAGTAACTACAATTTTTTAAAATTTCTTTTTAGAAAATTGACTTTTAAAAAACTGCTTTTTAGGGGGCGTGTTTTTGCTCAGCTAAGGGAGAAGGGCTGTCAGTTGGCTGATGTAAGCAACCGCTCCCGGTTACTGTGACCAGCCTACATCACAGCTGAGCTCCATGGACTAGAATAACGCTGAAAGAAGCCCCTCTAACTTTGAACGTTGAAACTTGTTGGTTCATTAGCTTGTGTTCTACCAGAGGAGGTTTTATTTTCTTTCTTCCTTTCTTTCCTTTTCTTTGTTTCGACGGAGTTTTGCTTTTGTCACCCAGGCTGGAGTGCAGTGGCGCAATCTCCGCTCACTGCAACCTCCACCTCCCGGGTTCAAGAGATTCTCCTGCCTCAGCCTCCCAAATAGCTGGGATTACAGGCATGCAACACCACGCCCGGCTAATTTTTTGTATTATTAGTAGAGACGGGGGTTTCACCATGTTGGCCAGTCTGGTCTCGAACTCCTGACCTCAGGTGATCCACCCACCCGGGCCTCCCAGGGTACTGGGATTACAGGCGTGAACCACCATGCCGGGCCGGAGGTTTTATTTTGGAACTGTACTACCATCGAAAGCTTTCAAACACAAGCTTCTGTAATATTTCAAGGTATATAAAGAGTAACAGTATATACATTGGCTCGTTTAATTTTCCTCAACTCATCGTATTTACATTTTGTGAAACAATTGTTTATGATTCATAAAGTGTTTTCTTTTTCAAAGTTTCTTAGATTTCCTTTGTCAAGAGAACAGAATTATTTTAGGAGGGCAAGCATATTTAAGTTAAGACTGAAAGTTGGCAGTCTGAAAAAGGATCGGAAGTTAATGGGAGGACTTTGGACTGCGATAAATGAATTTCCAGCCTGTTCTTTAAAGAGATTTAACAATATATGGTTGTGTTCCAGAACACGTAGTATATTGGTCTTTTTACTTAAGATTTATTGTAAATAAATTGCTATTTTTCGTTTCCTTAGTCTTTTGTGATTGATGAAAGTATCAGAGGGGCAAGGAAGATAGAAGTATGCTAGATTTGAAGAAAATGGGAGAGAAAAAATATTGAAGTTTCTGCATTTGTGCGGAGGATTTAGGAGTTACTTGTTTTGAATGTTTAACTCAGGCATGCTATTGTTTTGCACTTTAATTTTGGGATAATCAGTTTTCCTTGACTAAAAACACTTCAGTCACAAGATCAACATTTATGGTAACTCATCAAAGGAGGTATCAACGTACGAGGAAGATATGTGCATGAACAGGGAAAAAGGTGGTTTGGAAGTTTGATAATTCTTAATTTTTCTGTCTGGCTTTATGAGTGACTGACCGCAAAAATAATAGATCACTTTTTTTTTTCTACCCCATTCAACTGTTGGAATTATTGGTTAATGTTTTACATTAGTGTGCTTCTTTTTTCTTTATAAAGCTTAGATAAGATTCATGCCCTCCTGAGTCAGACTTTTTTCAGACTTTACCATTTTAAAGTATAAAGGAGATAGGAGTTAGCTGATGTCTCGGGTTTGCCAAACTACTGTGGAGAAGTTTTAAATTTAATTCCTACACCTGGTGTTCTTCCAAAAGTTCAAGTAACTTTAAAAGATGTTGGAAGTCAGCTTGTAGTTAACTGTAATTAAAAAACCAACACAGTGTATCAAATTTAACATAATCTGGACTATTGATTGACAGAAATTATGTACTAGTTATAAGGGGAAGTTACGCAAGTGATGGTATTGCCCATGCTGCTTGAGTTAGAAAGCAGCATAGACTCACACCTATAATCCCAGCACTTTGGGAGGCCAGGTTGGGAGGATTGCATTGAGGCCAGGAGTTTTTGACCAGCCTGGTCAATTTAGCAAGACCCCATCTCTATTTGAAAAAAAATAAAAATAAAGCAATAGCTTCTGTATTTAATTTAATTTAATTTTTTTTTTTTTTTTTTTTGAGATGGAGTTTCACTCTTGTCTGCCAGGCTGGAGTGCAGTATGGCACGATTTAGGCTCACTGCAACCTCTGCCTCCTGAGTATCTGGGATTACAAGCGCCTGCCACCAAGCCCGGCTAATGTTTGTGTTTTTAGTAGAGACGGGGTTTCACCATGTTGGCCAGGCTAGTCACAAACTCCTGACCTCAGGTGATCCACCTGCCTTGGCCTCCCAAAGTGCTGGAATTACAAACATGAGCCATCACACCCGGCCAGCTTCTGTATTTTGTATGTATTTTTAAAATAATTATGTTTTTTTCCTTTTGAGTAGCTGAGACAACAAGGACATGCCATTCGACCTGCCTGGCTAATTTTTGAAATTTTTTGTAGCAAGAAGGTCTCACTATCTTGCCTATTCTTGGGCTGAAGCAATCCCCCCACCTTGGCCTCGAAAAGTGCTGGTGTTACAGGGTGAGCCACTGAGCCTGGCTGCATTGTCCTGTTTTTTTTTTTTTTTTTTTTTTTTTTGAGACGGAGTCTCGCTCTGTCACCCAGGCTGGAGTGCAGTGGCGCTATCTCGGCTCACTGCAAGCTCCGCCTCCCGGGTTTACGCCATTCTCCTGCCTCAGCCTCCCGAGTAGCTGGGACTACAGGCGCCGGCCACCTCACCCGGCTAGTTTTTTGTATCTTTTAGTAGAGACGGGGTTTCACCGTATTAGCCAGGCAGGTCTCGATCTCCTGACCTTGTGATCCGCCCGTCTCGGCCTCCCAAAGTGCTGGGATTACAGGCTTGAGCCACCGCGCCCGGCCTTTTCCTCCTGATTCTAAAAGTAGTATATGTTCCTTCTGTTACATTTAGAAAACAGGTAAAAGAATAAAGTGATAATTACCTATCTGTAATTCCACTATTCTGTCATATTTACTCTCAGCCTTATTTTTATTTTTATTTTTTGAGACAGGGTTTTGCTCTGTCAACCATACTCTGGGGCACATACAGGTGGCATGATCATAGCTCACTGTAGCCTTGAACTCCTGGATTCAAGCGATCCCTCCTACCTTAGGCTCTGGAGTAGCTAGGACTACAGGCACCACTATGCCCAGCTCATTTTTAAATTATTTTGTAGAGAATGGGGGTCTTGTTCTGTTGCTAGCTGATCTCAAACTCCTGGACTCAAGAGATCCTCCTGCCTCAACCTCCCAAAGTGCTGGGATTACAGGTGTAAGCCACCACACCTGGTACATGCTCAGTCAGCCTTTTAAGAGGAAGTTTTTGTTCCTCTAAAATTGTAGTTGTGATATTTAGTTTTGTGTCCTCTCTTTTTGATTTAGCTTATTACAAGCATTTTCTGAGGTTATTGGTTGAACATATAACTGCCAACCTTTGAAAAAACAGGCTCTTCTCATTATGTGAATATAGGAAATGGAAAAGGCAAAAATCCTGTTTCATGCCACTGGTTGATAGGTACAGCCATCCTTAGATGCACCCTTTTGCATTATTATAGTAGTGCAATAGGCTGTAAGAAACTTTGATAATTTGCTGCTAATTAACTGATAAAAATGCAGATGTTTCTCATCCGTGCATAGAAGCAGAACTTAAGTTCACATTTTTCCATATACCTGGTGGCCTCAGTTTCAGTTTGGATGGTCAAGCCTCTGATGAATTCGATAAAATATATTTGAGACAAAGTCTCAGTGTGTCACCCAGGCTCGAGTGCAGTGGTGCAATCTCCGTTCCCTGCAACCTCCACCTCCCGGGTTCAAGCAATCCTCCTGCCTCAGTCTCTCGAGTAGCTGGCATTACAGGCCCCTGCCACCATGCCTGGCTAATGTTCATATTTTTAGTAGAGATAGGGTTTCACGATATTGGTCAAGCTGGTCTGGAACTCCTGACCTCAGGTGATCCACCTGCCTCACTCTCCCAAAATGCTGGGATTACAGGCGTGAGTCACCATGCCCAACCAAGATACAGTATGTCCACCAGAAAAACCTAAAGTCAGGATGGCAGTATGTAAATAGTATTTGAGGTCTCTGGCATCAGAACTAGGGTTTGTTGGTTCTGGCTTTTTAGAAATTTTTTTTAAAAATTGAGATATAATACATATACCATAAAATTTACCCTGTTAAAGTGTACAGTTCTGTGGGTTTTAGTATATGTATTGACAAAGTTGTGTAACCATCACCATTGTCTAATTCCAGAATTTTTCATCATCCCTCAACCTGATACCCATTAGTAGTAATTCCCATTCCCCCTTCTTCCCATCTTCTGGCAGCCAGTTATCTCTTTTCTGTTTCTATGGGTTAATCTATTCCAGACACTTCATTTAATGGAATCATGATTTATGGCCTCTTATGTCTGGCTTTTTTCACTTGGCATGATGTTTTGAAAGTTCATTCATAGTGGACGGGCGCAGTGGCTCACGCCTGTAATCCCAGCACTTTGGGAGGCCGAGGCGGGTAGATCACGAAGTCAGGAGTTCGAGACCAGCCTGTACAACATAGTGAAACCCTGTCTATTCTAAAAATACAAAAATTAGCTAGGTGTGGTGGCAGGCACTTGTAGTCCCAGCTACTCAGGAGGCCGAGGCACGAGAATCCCTTGAACCCGGGAGGCAGAGGTTGCAGTGAGCTGAGATTGTGCCATTGCATTCCAGCCTAGGCGACAGAGTGAGACTATCTCAAAAAATAATAGGCCGGGCGCGGTGGCTCAAGCCTGTAATCCCAGCACTTTGGGAGGCCGAGACGGGCGGATCACAAGGTCAGGAGATTGAGACCATCCTGGCTAACATGGTGAAACCCCATCTCTACTAAAAATACAAAAAACTAGCCGGGCGAGGTGGCGGGCGCCTGTAGTCCCAGCTACTCCGGAGGCTGAGGCAGGAGAATGGCGTGAACCCGGGAGGCGGAGCTTGCAGTGAGCTGAGACCCGGCCACTGCACTCCAGCCTGGGCGACAGAGCGAGACTCGTCTCAAAAAAAAAAAGGAAAAGAAAAGAAAAAAATTCATTCATATTATAGCGTATATTAGTCCTTCATTCTTCTCATTTTTTTCCTTTTCACAAAATTCACATAAGCATCTCATTTCTTTTGATGGCCAAATAGTAATTACATTGATGGATAAACCACATTTTATTTATTCATTCATCAGTTGATGAAAATTAGGTCATTTCCACTTTCTAGCTCTTCAACATTTATGAACAAGTTTTTGTGTGGGCATGTGTTTTAAATTCTTTGATAAATACTTAGGAGCGGAATTGTGTCATGGTAACTGTCTTGAACATTTTGAGGATCTGACAAACGTTTCCATTTTACATCCTCATTTACATCCCACTAGCAATGTATGAGGGTTCTAATTTCTCTGCAAGACTTAGGTTTTTAAATATCTGTTCTTCTTTTTCTGTGATTATGGGGGACATTTCTGGACATTAAATGTCTCATCTGTAAAATGAAAGGTTATTGTGAGGATTAAATTCCAAAAATGTATGGAATCACCTAGTACTATGCTTAGAATGCAGTAAATATTCAATTTTAAATTATTGTTTAAAATTATTATGCAGCGTGGGCACCATGGCAAGACCTCATCTCTACAAAAAAATTTTAAACATTAGCTGGGCATGGTGGCGTGCTCCTGTAGTCCCAGCTACTGGGGAGGCTGAGGTGAGAGGATTGCTGGAGCTTAGAAGTTTGAGGCTACAGTGAGCTGTGTTTGCACTACTGCATTCCAGGCTGGGTGACAGATCGAGACCCTGTCTCGAAAAAAAATGTATATATATATACACACACACACACTTAAAATAATGAAGGTATATTTCAAACTTGTAGATAATTTGAAAGATAAAGGAAAACATGAAAAATCTTTTTATCCATCTGAAAATACTCTTTTGTCTTTCCAGTCTTACTCCTTTCTGCAATATTTTTTTCTCCCTCAAAGTTGAGATCATTGGATCTAACTTTTTTTTTTTCCTTTTTTTGAGACAGAGTCTTGCTTTGTCGCCCAGGCTAGAGTGCAGTGGTGCTATCTCGGCTCACTGCAGACCCTGCCTCCCGGGTTCAAGCCATTTTCCTGCCTCAAGCCTCCCGAGTAGCTGGGATTACAGGCGCCTGCCACCGTGCCCAGCTAATTTTTTTATTTTTTAGTAGAGACGGGGTTTCACCATCTTGGGCAGCTGGTCTCGAACTCCTGACCTTATGATCCACCTACCTCGGCCTCCCAAAGTGCTGGGATTTCAGGCATGAGACGCCGTGCCTGGCCGGATCTAACTTCTTTAAAATATAAGTATTTCTTGCTGCCGTAATTATGGGCAAAGGTTTGTTTTGTGGGGATTTTTTTGTTTGTTTTTCTGAGACCGAGTCTCGCTCTGTTGCCCAGGCTGGAGTGCAGTGGTGCGGTCTGGGCTCACTGCAACCTCCACCTCCCGGGTTCAAGCTATTCTCCTGCCTCAGCCTCCCAAGTAGCTGGGATTACAGGCACCCACCACCATGCCTAGCTAATTTTTGCATTTTTAGTAAAGATGAGTTTCACCATGTTGGCCAGGCTGGTTGCGAACTGCTGACCATGTGATCTGCCCACTTCAGCCTCCCACAGTGTTGGGATTACAGGCGTGAGCCACGGCGCCTGGACTTGTTTGAGACGGGGTCTTGCTCTGTTGTTCAGGCTGAGGTGCAGTGGTGCGATCATGACTCACTGCAGACTCGATCCCCTGGGCTCAAGGGATCCTCCTTCTTCAGCTTCCCATGTAGCTGGGAATATAGATGCACACCACCCTAATTTTTTGTTTGACACAGGGTCTCAACTTTGTTGCCCAGGCTGAAGCACAGTGGTGTGGTCACAGCTCACTGCAGCCTTGACCTCCTGGGGTCAAGTGATCCTCCCATCTCAGCCTCCCCCAGTAGCTGGGACTTCAGGCATGTGCCATTACACCTGGCCAAATTTTTTTTTTTTTTTTGAGATGTAGTTTTGCTCTTGTTGCCCAGGTTGGAGTGTAATGGCGCGATCTCGGCTCACTGCGACCTCCGCCTTTCAGGTTCAAGGGATCCTCCTGCCTCAGCCTCCCGAGTAGCTGGGATTACTGGCATGCGCCACCACACCCAGCTAATTTTGTATTTTTAGTAGAGACGGGGTTTCTCCATGTTGGTCAGGCTGGTCTCAAACTCCTGACCTCAGGCAATTCACCCTTCTCGGCCTCCCAAAGTGCTGGGATTACAGGTATGAGCCACCATGCCCCACTCACACCTGGCAAAGTTTTGTATTTTTTGTAGAGACAGGGTTTTGCCATGTTGCCCAGGCTGGTCACAAACTCCTGAGCTCAGGCGATCCACCTGCCTCAGCCTTTCAACGTGCTGGGATTACAGGTGTGAGCCACCATGCACAGCTTCCCAGCTAATTTAATTTTTCTTTTTTTAAAAGATGGATCTCGCTCTGTTGACCAGGCTGGTTTCCAACTCCTGGGCTCAAGCGATCCGCCTGCCTCTGCCTCCCAAAGTGCTAGGATTACAGGCGCGAGTGACTGCCTGGCCAGCAAAGATTTCTGAGGTAGTTTTCCTGCTATATTAACCCTTTGGTCAAAGTGCAGGTCTAGTTAAGGAGAACAAGTATTATTCTAGTACATCTTTCAGTACAGTTGCTTGTTTCTGGACACGAAGGGGAGGGAGGACATTGCTGGGCTATACAGATTAGTCTTATCTTGGCTAGTTGAAAATTGGTAATAGTTTTCATTTTGTGGAGAAATTTCACTGCCAAATATTGCACCATTAAGGAAATACATAAGAAATGACTAAAGTGGCTCGAAGTTGTTGGACCAATATGTTTTTGAGCAAAGAACTGTAAGTTTTAAGTGACGACGGTATATGTTTAATTTGTGCATTAAAGCTTAGAAATAGCTTTTTAAAAAACTCTTAGTTTGCATTTATATAGCATTGTTATTTTTGATACAACTGCATAAGATACATTCTGTGTTGCTGTGAGCCATTAAACTGTTGTCTTGTAATTTATATTTAGAAAATAATTTGTGGATGCTTAAAAGTCATTGTGGGTAAATTATTTTTCCCCTGGAATTCTGGGGTGACCTAGAAATGGTTGCATGATTTTGTAAACACTTCCCTTTTTGAAAAAGTAAAATGAGTATATAAAATACTATATATTTAAAGCCCTCAAGGAGTCATCTTCAAAAAGATATATCAGGAAATGTAAACAGCCCAACATTTTAATTAAAAAAATCTACTTGGACAATTTTTTTCTCTTTTCATAAAAGTAATACATGTTTTTTGGGTAAAAAAAATTCCTATCAGTAGAGGAGCAAGGAAACTATTAATTATTCATATAAGCACATATAAAACCTATTAAAAGAAAATTTGGAGTACCTACATGCTTTTGTATAATTTAAAATAATATAATCATGATTTGTCTTGGATTTCTTCCATTCTTTGTCAATATTTTTGGATTTACTTTTTTTTTTTGAGACCGAGTTCCGCTCTTGTTGCCCAGGCTGGAGTGCAATGGCATGATCTTGGCTCACTGCAACATTCGCCTCCTGGGTTCAAGCGATTCTCCTGCCTCAGCCTCCAGAGTAGCTGGGATTACAGGCATGTGCCACCACATCCAGCTAATTTTTGTATTTTTAGTAGAGACAGGGTTTCACCATGTTGGCCAGGCTGGTCTCAAACTCCTGACCTCAGGTGATCCGCCCACCACAGCCTCCCAAAGTGCTGGGATTACAGGCATGAGCCATGGCGCCAGGCCTTACATTGTTTTTAATTGGCAGTCTGAGGTCCAGTTGGACCTCTGGTGGTAACTGGCAGGTACCATAGTTTTGTGTGTGTGCGTGTGTGTGTGTGTTTCCTAATCAGCGTCTGTTTCATTTCTGACTTGGCTGAATCATATTTGAACTTAAAGGTTAATTTTAGTTAACTTAAAAATCTGATGCTTTCAACAGACAGCTTTGTTGAACCATTTAAAGATCTAGTTGTTTTTTGCCACCCCCCCTTTGTTTTATATCTTGTTACTAAAGATGCCAAACTTAATAGCTCCTTTTTATGTATTTTTTAGAATTATGTTTTCTGATCTTTTTGATACTGTTCCGTACTCAAAAAATAAAACACTTGTGTAACAGTTGGCTTTTATTATTATGCTCATGAATGAGGGCTTGATGTGGGCTGATCACACTGACTAGTATTTGGGAAGAAATAAACCTGTATCCCAGTACGAAGTGGGGAACAGGGTTTTACGGGACAAAGGAATAAAAGGCTTGAGTCTCCAAAAAGAATTTAAAGTTATTGTTGGTAGGGTACAGAGCAGAAAGGGTTGTTAAGAGGGTGGAAGGAATCGGAATTGCCTGTAGCCTTCAATTCTGTTTTGGACTAACTGATAAAAGATAGACTTACTTGCATAGGAATGTAAATTAGATAAGTGAGATAATTTCAGCTCTTTTTTTAACTTACTAGCATTGCTTTTATGTGCTAAGTCATGCTTTGATTTAAATATTAAGAAAGTGTCCTTGCTTAAATCAATACTCAATTGAATTGATATAAAAATCTGTGATAAATCCAGGTAGCCAGATACGATATCCTAAGAACAATGATAAATTCAATGAGGTTATTAGATATTGATCTTTCATTTGTGAGGGCTTTAACAAACACTGCAGAATATTCAGGTTTTGAGAGATTCATACTTACAAGCATTTAATTTGTTCTTCACTGTCACCCTAATAAAGAGGTATAGCCTCTTGTTCTAGTGTGGATTTTTTTTCACAAGCAAACACATTCCTCCCTACTTGTACTTCTGCCTCAAATGAATCATTTTAAGAATTTAGGTCGGGCACAGTGGCTCACACCTGCAATCCCAGCAGTTTGGGAGGCTGTGGTGGGCAGATCAAGACCAGCTTGGCCAACATGGTGAAACCCCGTCTCTACTGAAAATACAAATTAGCTGGGGTGTGGTGGCACGTGCCTGTAATCCCAGTTATTTGGGAAGCTGAGGTAGGAGAATTGCTTGAACCTGGGACATGGAGGTTGCAGTGAGCTGAGATCATGCCATTGCACGCCAGCCTTGGTGACAGAGTGATACTCTGTCTCAACAACAACAACAACAAAAATTTAGATATTACTTAATATTGTAGATGAATGTGATAGGGCCATTTTTATAACACAGGTTAATCAGACTTTGGTTTTCATTTTGGCACATTTAATGTTGAAATGGATTTAAGCAGGGGTAAAATTGGCTTCATCTTCTTTTATTATCATTATAAGGTCACTAGGACATAGTTATAGAAGGTCACTAGAACATAGTTACACCACTAGGACATAGTTATACCAGTGTATTTTTACCCCTTAGCATCAAAATCTGTTACCCAAATTGTACTCTGTAAATAAGAGAAAATATTTTTACAAATCTTAAGATAATTCTTTATTCAGTTTTGTGTTCTCTGAATCAACTTCTAATCTGTGTTTTAAAAAATGGTAGTATGGCTGGGCACGGTGGCTCACGCTTATAATCCCAGCACTTTGGGAGGCCCAGACTGGCAGATCACTTGAGGCCAGGAGTTTGAGACCATCCTGGCCAACATGGTGAAACCCCATCTCTACAAAAAATACAAAAATTAGCTGGGCGTGGTGCTGGGCGCCTGGACAACAGAGCAAGAGTATGTCCCCCCCCTCCTCTGCCCCCCCGCAAAAATGCTGGTAGTTCATAGAATAAAGTCTTGAATTGGAAGAGATCTTAGATGATCTGATCCAGTCCCTTTATTTATGGCTAATTTCTCTTTCCTCAGTGTCCTAAAGTCACTCAAATAGTTTGTGGCAAAGCTAGAGATTAGAGCCTAAGTCAGCTATATACTCGTTTCCTTTTACTAGTACATGCTGTCTCTCTTGGTCTAGAAAGAAGAATGGAAAGGCTTTCTGTAGGAAGTGTTGCCTTTGGGAATCAGAAATAAGATCATTTCATTTAGACAACTTCTACTTTTGACTTATACTGTAAAATTATTTCTTGGAGTGTGCTTTTGGTCTGGATTTTAAATCTATAATGTCTTCTTCTAGTTGGATTGGATGCTGCTGGCAAGACAACCATTCTGTATAAACTGAAGTTAGGGGAGATAGTCACCACCATTCCTACTATTGGTAAGAAAGTTTACAGATGACTTTATATCATGATGATATGTTGTAAAGTGAAATATATACAGTCTCGTTTTGAGACTGTCTTTTTGTTAAGCATGTTGATTATCTTAGAAGTACTTTTAAAACAGGCCGGGTGTGGTGGCTCATGCCTGTAATCCCAGCACTTTGGGAGGCCGAGGTGGGTGGATCGCTTGAGTCCAGGAGTTCAAGACCAGCCTGCATAACATATTGAGTCCTTGTCTCTGTTGATGTTTAGGTTTAAATATATTTTTTTAAATAAAAAGAAGTACTTTTAAAACACTAAGAAAATTCCACAATAAAAGGTTTTATTTTCTTAATGACGCCGCACAGCGGTCATTTTTGTTTTTCTTTGTAGGTTTTAACGTGGAAACAGTAGAATATAAGAACATTTGTTTCACAGTATGGGATGTTGGTGGTCAAGATAGAATTAGGCCTCTCTGGAAGCATTACTTCCAGAATACCCAGGTAAGGGATACTATATGTTTTTATAACTTTTCTCTGTGGGTTTCATGCTCTAAAGTTTATGTTAGTATCTAGTATTTACTTGGATATTGGTGTTTACTATGAGTTGGCATTTGTCTTATCACCACTTCTACATTCTTCAGTGGACTCTCACGTATGCCTCGAAGGCTAACTTATATAGGGTGGAAGAGTTGTAAAGCAATTACGGTAAGTGTTTGGAAGATGGGGTGGGTGCTGGTGTACTTCTCAAGAATGAATTAGGTCTCGTATCCATAGTTCTTTGCTTTCCATCTTAGTTTAGAAAGTAAGGTCTGTATAAACTGTCATTGTAGTTTCTGATGAATGTAAGACAATTGATAGTCCTTTGTTTAGCTCAGTTACTTGTTTACTTTATTAAATACATTAGCCGGGCGCGGTGGCTCAAGCCTGTAATCCCAGCACTTTGGGAGGCCGAGGCGGGCGGATCACGAGGTCAGGAGATCGAGACCATCCTGGCTGACACGGTGAAACCCCGTCTCTACTAAGAAATACAAAAAACTAGCTGGGCGAGGTGGCGGGCGCCTGTAGTCCCAGCTACTGGGGAGGCTGAGGCAGGAGAATGGCGTAGACCCGGGAGGCGGAGCTTGCAGTGAGCTGAGATCCGGCCACTGCACTCCAGCCTGGGCGGCAGAGCGAGACTCCGTCTCAAAAAAAAAAAAATACATTAAGGTCAGTTCGCTGCATTGATTTGTAAGATATTTTTATATTGCCACATAGTGTGTATATATAATACTGGCATGGAAGAGACTTTAGTGAGTGATCCTATAGAACAAGAGTTCTCAAATTTGGGGGTGGCACTTAAGAGTCACATGGGGAACTTTAAAAATCCCAAGACCTAGATCATCCCCTAGACCACTTGAATCAGAATCTCAGGGGATAATCCAGGTACAGTAGTGTTTCTTAAACTGTAATAATGCATATCAATCACTTGGGTATTTGTTAAAAATACACATTAATTCCGTAGGTCCTGGCTAAGGCCTGAGATTCTGTATTTCTAGCAAGTTCTTGGGTTGTGCTGATACTACTGGTCTGGTATCTTACACAACAGCACTATTGACATTTTGGGCTGGGTTATTCTTTGTTGTTGGGTATGGGGAGGGCTCTCTATGCATTGTAGGTTGTTTAGTGGCATCCTTGTCCTCTACCCACTAGATGGCAATAGCAGTTCCCCTCAATTAGCAGCCAAAAATCTCTCCACACCTGCAAAATATCCCGTGGAGCAAAATTGTCCCCTGCTGAGAACCACCGTTCTAATCTAACTCTCTTACATATGAGGAAACTGAAACTTGTAATGACTTACCCAAGACAGGAGAGTTTCTTCTTACTCTTCCTTTGTTTAACCTGGTCCCACCTCAATTGTTTTTTCTACCACCCAAGGAATTTGTCAGTTTTTGTTTACTACTTGGTAATTATTTTTTAAGTGGATATCACTGCCACTTTATATGTTTAAGATTTGCAATGTCATCTTGTTATCCAGCTCTTAAAATATTGCATACAAGTGGGGTTTATTGCCATCAGGTGGCAGTGAATACCTTAGGTGAGTGGCTGGGACAACCAGGTTTACATAGTATGTCATATTAAATAAGTGGTATACTTTTTTATTTAAAAATGAGAATGTTTAGGCCAGGTGCAGTGGCTCACGCCTGTAATCCCAGCACTTTAGGAGGCTGAGGTGGGCAGATCACGAGGTCAGGAGTTCGGGACCAGCCTGACCAACACAGTGAAACCCTGTCTTTACTAAAAATACAAAAATTAGCCAGGCATGGTGGCGTGCACCTGTAATCCCAGCTACTCAGGAGGCTGAGGCAGAATTGCTTGAACCCGGGAGGTGGAGGTTGTGGTGAGCGGAGGTTGCACCATTGTACTCCAGCCTGGGTGACTGGGTGACAGAGCATGACTCTGTCTCAAAAAAAAAAACAAAAAAAAAAACAAAAAAAGAATGTTTATGGTCATCAATATACAGCTATGACTAGAAAAGATATTTGATACAGAGGCACATGCTTTAAAAAGCTTCATTATGGAAAATGTTAAATACAAGGTGAACATTGCTTATCCGAAATTCTTGGGACCAGAAACCACTGTTTCTGATCTCAAAATTTTGGAATATTTGCATTGTACCCAGTTGAGCATCCTAAATCCAGAAATCCAAAATCTGATATACTGCAGGGAGTTTTTCCTTTGTCACGTTGGTGCTCAGAAAGTTTTGCATTTGGATTTTTGGATTAAGGAAACTCAATCTGTATACATAAAAGTAGAGAGAATAGCATAATAAACTCACATGTATATATAATGCAGCTTCAGTTAACAGGATATAACCAGTGCTGTGTTATTTGATATTCATCTCTAATGTGCTCTACCCTCTGGACTGTTTTTTAATTTTTTTTTGAGATGGAGTTCTCGTTCTGTCACTCAGGCTAGAGTGCAGCGGTGCAATCTTGGCTCACTGCAGCCTCCGCCTCCCAGGTTCAAGTGATTCTCCTGCCTCAGCCTCCCAAGTAGCTGGGACTTCAGGCATGCGCCACCACACCTGGCTAATTTTGTATGTTTAGTAGAGATGGGGTTTCACCATGTTAGCCAGGCTGGTCTTGATCTCCTGACCTCATGTGATCCCCCTGCCTAGGCCTCCCAAAGTGCTGGGATTACAGGCATGAGCTACCACACCTGGCCAATATATTTTGAAGAGTTAGATATGAAGTAAAACCTTGCTAATCCTTAAGCCTAATAATTCTTGACCAAGGGTAACCCTGGGTTTATCCCTAGATTTCTTTAGAATGCTTTGTAATTTACTTTGCGCTCTTAATTTGAGATTAGACCCAATTCTGGCCTCTTTGGACCACCTTAGAATTAAAAGTCCAAGTACTACTTCCCAGGGAGTTCATGCTAGCTGGGGAAAGCTTTATGTGTTACCTGATAGAATCAAAGCTGAGCTCTTAGCTTGCATTCCCAGCATTACTGATCAGTTCTTCTAGCTATAAAATTTAAAAGAAACTATAGCTTTAACCATGTTTCTAACCTATACTAACAAACCATGGCATAGTGTGTAGTAAATTCCTCTTATTAGATAATTCCAACTAATTTGCCATTCTAAATAATTAAGCAAATATTTGGCTTTTAAAATAATCTCATAGCAGCTGGGCTTATCTGTAGAATCCTAGCTTTTCTTCATTCTTGATTCTAGGCTGTTCCAGGAAGAAAATAATTAGGGATTAATTCCTAAAATAATTCTCCTTCTCAATGTTACTTTGGGACTGATAGCATTATTTGCGTTTTAAAACAAATAAAGGCTGGGTGCAGTGGCTCATGCCTGTATTCTCAGCACTTTGGGAGGCTGAGGCGGGAGGATCGCTTGAGCTCAGGAGTTTGAGGCCAGCCTGGGGAACATAGCAAGACCCTGTCTTTACATCAAAAAAAAAAAAAAAAAAAAAGAATAAAAATGGAAAGTTGGTAGTCAAGATAAAATTAGGTCCCTTTTAAGGGCATTACCTCTTGTAAAGGATAGGTTTCAGGACCGGGTACTATGGCTTGCGCCTGAAACACCAACACTTTGGGAGGCCATAACAGGAGGATCACTTGAGGCCAGTAATAGTTCAAGACTAGTCCAGGCAACAGAGTGAAACCCTGTCTCTACCAAAAAAAAAAAAAAAAAAAAAAGATTACCTGGGCATGGTGGCATGCTCCTGTAGTCCCAGCTACTTGAGAGGCTGAGGTGGGAGGACCACCTGAACACAGGAGGTGGAGGCCCAAGTGAGCTATGATTGTGCCTCTGTACTCCTTGCCTTTTTTTTGAAAAAAATGGAAGGTTTGGTTCTAAAAAGGAGTAGCTTTTGAAATATGAAAAGGAAGAGACAGATTTGGTAAATAAATGCCTGTGATAAGCCAAGCACAATGATAGCTCTTTTCTCTTTGACTGCATTTAATCTTTAACAAGCTTATGAAGTTAGTAGTATTTTTATTTTATTTAGACAAGGCATATTCAAGGATTAGGTAATATTATAACAAGTAGTGTAAGATTTGAATTTGAGTCTGTGTTTCCAAGCATCAAACATTATTTTTTGTTTTTGAGATGGGGTCTTTCTCTGTTGCCCAGGCTAGAGTGCAGTGGCACTATCGTGGTTCAGTGCAGCTTCAGTCAACCTCCTGGGCTCAAGTGATCCTCCCTTCTCAGCTTTCTAAGTAGTTAGGACTATAGACACGTGCCACTACGCCCTACTAAAATTTTAATTTTTTTCGTAGAGACAGTGTCTTACTCTGCCCAGGCTGATCTTGAACTCCTGACCTCACGTGATCCTCCCACCTCAGCCTCCCAAAGTGGTGGGATTAGAGGTGCCATGCCAGCCAAAAGGTTTTTCAAAGGATAGATATTTAAAGTGATGGTTTTCCAGGTGGTGTAGATGCAGTGTAAAATAAGATAAAAAAGTTATTGGCCGGGCGCGGTGGCTCACACCTGTAATCCCAGCACTTTGGGAGGCCGAGGCAGGCGGAACATGAGGTCAGGGGATCAAGACCATCCTGGCGAACACGGTGAAACCCCGTCTCTACTGAAAATACAAAAAAAATTAGCCGGGCATTGTGGCAGGCGCCTATAGTCCCAGCTTCTAGGGAGGCCGAGGCAGGAGAATGGTGTTAATCCGGGAGGCGGCAGAGCTTGCAGTGAGCGGAGATCACGCCACTGCACTCCAGCCTGGGTGACAGAGCAAGACTCCGTCTCAAAAAAAAAAAAAAAAAAAAAAAATTAAGTTATGGTTTCCAACAGAGATAAAGGAAATGGACTTATAATTTGCTAAAACAAAGGAAATTGTCGTTAAGTGGATGTAAAATAAGTGTTAGATACCCCTGGAGAGCCCAGTACTGTGATAATCCTGAGAGGTAAATAGAAAATGATGTAGGATGGGGGTGGGCACGGTGGCTCATACCTGTAATCCCAGCACTTTGGGAGGCCAAGGCAGGTGGATCACCTGAGGTCAAGAGTTCAAGACCAACCTGGCCAACATAGTAAAATCCCGTCTCTACTAAAAATACAAAAATTAGCCAGGTGTAATGGTGGCCACCTGTAATCCCAGCTACTCAGGAGGCTGAGGCAGAATTGCTTAAACCTGGGAGGAGGGGTTTGCAGTGAGCTGAGATAGCACCACTGAACTCCAGCCTGGGCAACAGAGCGAGACTCTCTCAAAAAAAAAAAGATGTAGTATAGTCCTTTGCCTTCCGTGAATGTTAATCTAGTTACTTTTTTTTTTTTTTTGAGATGTAGTTTGCCCTTGTCGCCCAGGCTGGAGTGCAATGGCACAATCTCGGCTCACTGCAGCCTTCGCCTGCTGAGTAGCTGGGATTACAGGCGTGCCACCATGCCTGGCTAATTTTTGTATATTTAGTAGAGATGAGGTTTCACCAGGCTTGTCTCAAACTCCTAATCTCAGGTGATCCACCTGCCTCGGCCTCCCAGAATAGTGGGATTACAGGTGAAAGCCACCGCACCCAGCCTAGTTACTTAAATAAATCAGTAGTACAAGACAATCTGTGATAAGTGACATGATCAAAAGTACTTTCGGGGTCAGGGTTTATCTTTTTTCTTTTTTATTATTTTTATTATTTTATTATTTTTATTTTTGCTCCCTTTTTCTAACTGAAAATTCTGTAATTTCCCATTTGAAAGTTTTTAGAAAAAGAGTTCAACTAATTGCTTCCTAATTCCTTCCATTTCTCTTGTAGTATAGAATTCTAATAATGGGCCAGGTGCCATGGCTCATGCCTGTAATCCCAACACTTTGGGAGGCCCAGATGGGTGGATCACTTGAGTCCAGGAGTTTAAGACCACATGGGCAACATGGTGAAACCCCATCTCTACAAAAAATAGAAAAATTAGCCAGGTGTGGTGGCACGCACCTGTAGTCCCAGCCACTTGGGAGGCTGAGGTGGGAGGATCATTTGAGCCCAGGAGGTCAAGGCTGCAGTGAGCCAAGATTACGCCACTGTGCTCCTAGGCAACAGAGTTGGGACCCTGTCTGAAAAGAAGGTAATATTTATATCTCTGAGAATTGATACTACCTTCTTTTTTTTTAAAGAATGTCTTAATCAAGTAAATCTCTCTCTCTCTCTCTTCCTCTTTCCCTCCCTCCCTCCCTTCCTTCCTTTCTCTTTCTTCTTTTCAAGAGATACGGTTTTGCCATATTGTCCTGGCTGGCCTCAAACGGCTGGGCTCCAATGATTCTCCTGCCTTGGCTTCCCAAAGTGCTGGGATTACAGGAGTGAGCCACTGCGCCCAATCTTGGAGTTTTCTTGCTATCTTTTTCTTAAGATGTCCTCCTGATTCTAGAGTTGGCAGGCAGCATTCTGGAGCAAGTTAATTTTTTCCTTCCATGATAAAGCAGATGAAAACTGTAGTGGGGGTGCACCCACTCCCGCTATCCCACCCCCCTTTTATTACACTCTGTACATGCCTTTGATACAATAAGCTAATTCAGTTAGTAAGTTCATGGTTTTATTTGTTTGTTTGTTTTTTGAAATAGGGGCTCTCTCTGCCACCCAGGCTGCAGTGCAGTGGCGTGATCTCAGCCCCCTGCAACCTCCATCTCTTGGGCTCAAGTGATCCCTCCCACCTCAGTCTCTCAGATAGCTGGGACTACAGGAGTGCACCACCACGCCTGGCTAATTTTTGTATTTTTTTGTAGAGATAGGCTTTCGCCATGTTGCCCAGGCTGGTCTCCAAATCCTGAGTTCAAGCGATTTCAGGCCTGATCCCTTGACTGCCTCGGCCTCCCAAAGTGCTGGGATTACAGGATGAGCCACCATGCCTGGCCAAATTCACAATTCTTAGGATCCTTGATTTGTTATTTTTCTTTTTGTTCCTACTTTGTGGCTATTTTGGTACCTGCACTTAAATGTGAGAGTACAGAGGGAAGAGGGGAAAATAGATACAATTTATTCTTAGGGTAGTTGAGAAAAGTAGTTAATTGGTGAAGAATAAAAAGTTTTTAGATTTGAAATAGCACTAATAAATTAAACTTACAAATAGTTCTCAAATAAGCTTTTAGCATTACAGCTTTAAGTTCTTACTTTTAATGAGATATTTTCTTCCTAATGTCTAACCATTGGTACCATTTTGCTGCCTACACTTCTGTTTCATATAGAGAATGTCATTTAACTGTTAAAATTTACTGAAACAATTTTTCCCCAGGGACTTATTTTTGTGGTAGACAGCAATGATCGTGAAAGAATTCAGGAAGTAGCAGATGAGCTGCAGAAAATGGTAAGAATATACTTTAAATTTATTATTATGATTAGTTTACACAAGTGGATTTGGGGGGCTAGAAATAAACTTAAGAAACTCTATTATCCACAGGTTCTTAATGTACTTCAAAATCTCTTATAGAGCATTTTGAAAAACACATGGAAGAGTACTTCAGTAAATTGGGAGGAAGGGCAGAGCAGCTTTTTTTTTTTTTTTTTTAGAATGCCTCATGGGTAATCTTGATGCCTATCTCTGGCTGAGGATATCTGATTTAGCTCAGTCCCTTATTTTACAGGTACCAAATCTATAGTGCTATAGCAGTTTTGACCCTAGGAATCTTGATTCAAATGTTTTGTTCCCAAGGTCATCGGTTCCATTTTCTCTATGCTGTGCCAATAATTATTTCAGAAATGTTTTTTAATAGTAACCATTTAAGGATAAGGAATTTCTTCTGAAAGTAGAGACAAACGTTTGGTTCACAGTGGCATTTTGCAGCCTTGCCATATATTGGATTTCATGTGTTTGTGGTGTTAAATGTACTAAATGGAGGAAGACTGCTGAGAATCCTTGTCATGATTTTAAACTTGTAGCCATAAAATATTTACTGAAATGAAATTTTAATTATCATTCATTCCTCCTAAGACTAGAGGGCAGTTTGTAAAACCGTTGTGCCAGTATATGTGTAACTAAGTCATTGTTGGATTTTTGCCTGAGTCAAATGTCACCAGCTTTCCCTCTTAAAAAAAAAAAAAAGAAAGAAAAACTGTTAAGACGTACTTCACATACTATAAATGTTATCCTTTTAAAATGTGCATATCAGTGGCTTTTAGTATACAGAGTTGTACAACCGTCACCACAATCTAATACTAGAAAATTTTCATCACCCCCAAAGAAATCTTGGAACCATCAGTAGTCACTCCCATTTCCTTCCTCCTACACCACACTCCCAGCCTCTGACAGCCAGTAATTACTCTGTCTCTATACAGTCACCTATTCTGGACATTCATATAAATGAAAACATACAATGTGTTCTTTTGTGACTGACTTTTTTCACTTAGCGTAATTTTTCAGGGTTCATCTATATTGTATCATGCACCAGTACAACTTCTGTTCTTGGTACTTTTTTTTGTATTTTTCATGATACTGCCAACGCCCAGATAATTGTGTTATTGTCCCACTGTTGTTGGAAAGGATAGAAGTCTGAAAAGAATCATCATCTGAGTACTTCTGCTACTAAGTACCATAAGATCCTACCATAAACATTTTATTCCCATATGTGTTTCTTGCCCTTATCAGTCCTGACAATGGGTGATCATGAAGGCTGAATGATGAGTGATTTGCTTTAATGGGGTGTAGAATGATTGACTTGAAAAACAGTTCTGTCTTACTTGAAGGCATATGATTGTTTGCTCTGGATTTAAAAACTGAAGGATATGAGACTTCAGTTGTTAAGAGTGAACTTTGTGTAGAGAAATTAGGTTAATGTTTAATAGTATATTTAATGCTGAGTAAAGCATATATAGGAAGACAGTTAGTTTCAAAACTCAGATTCCGGTTGGTAGTTGCTAATGCCTTACCTTTTATTTCCAGCTTCTGGTAGATGAGTTGAGAGATGCAGTGCTACTGCTTTTTGCAAACAAACAAGATTTGCCAAATGCTATGGCCATCAGTGAAATGACAGATAAACTAGGGCTTCAGTCTCTTCGTAACAGAACAGTAAGTATTTGGAGGTTGATATTAACCTCTTGACTATTAAGACTTACTAGGATAGTTGTGTAAGCTAGTATTCAGTTTAAACATTTATTATCTCCTTTGGACAAATAATAAGCACATCATTTATTTAAAAATATGGTAATAAACTTTAAATACCTTTATTTCATTTTTGTAAAGATATAGAAAACTGCTGTAGAATAGGTCTAAAGATTATTGATAGTCTATTTTTTCTTTTTTTTTTTTGAAGGGGGAGGTAGAAGGAATGGAAAGAAGATTATTGATAGTCTTAATTTTAATTTTGTATCTTTTAAATAACCCTACAGCAAATATTTTGAAATCTGGCTCTCTTACTAAGGATCCAGTAATGTTTGTTTGCTTGTTTCAAAAGTGGAGATGGGGGGCTGGGCACTGTGGCTCATGCTTGTAATCCAACACTTTGGGAGGCCTAGGCGGGCGGATCATCTGAGATCGGGAGTTTGAGACCAGCCTGACCAACATGGAGAAACCCTGTCTCTACTAAACATACACAATTAGCCGGGTATGGTGGCACACACCTGTAATCGCAGCTACTCCAGAAGGCTGAGGCAGGAGAATCGCTTGAACCCGGGAGGTGAAGGTTGCGGTGAGTCGCGATCGCGCCACTGCACTCTAGCTTGGGCAACAAGAGCGAAATTCGGTCTCAAAAAAAGTGTAGATGGGGTCTCACTTTGTTGCTAGGCTGGTCTTGAACTCCTGGACTCAAGCAATCCTCCCACTATCTCAGCCTACCAAAGCGCTGGGATTCCAGCCATGGTGCCCAGCCTTGTCTGCTTGTTAACAGCTTATGGAGGAGACCAGGTACCACGGCTCACACCTGCAATCCCAACACTTTGGGAAGCCAAGGCAGGAGGATTGCTTGAGGCCAGGAGTTCGAAACCAGCCCAGGCAACAAAGTGAAACCCTATCTCTACAAAAATAAAAATTAGCTGTGTGTGGTGGCATGCGTCTTTAGTCCCAGTTACTTGGGAGGCTGAGGTGGGAGGACTGTTCGAACCCAGAAGTTGGAGGCTGCAGAGAGCTGTGATTGTGCCCACTGCACCCCAGCCTGGGTGACAGAGCAAGACTGTTTCTTTAAAAAAAAAAAATTATACTTCTCTAAAATTGCTTGTTATTTTAGATCAGTGATTCAGTGATGGAGATAAATTATCAGAAACTTAGTGTCATAGGCTTTTTACAGTAGTTTTGCATTAACCTGTAAATAAGGCAAATACTATGGCTGTGGTAAAAAATGAAACAACAAAGAACCTATTGCAGGCTGGGCGCAGTGGCTCATGCCTATAATCCCAGCACTTTGGGAGGCCTAGGCGGGTGGATCACGAGGTCAGGAATTCAAGATCAGCATGGCCAAGATAATGAAACCCCGTCTCTACTAAAAACTACAAAAAAAATGAGGTGTGGTGGCAGGCATCTGCAATCCCAGCTACTCTGGAGGCTGAGGCAGGAGCATCACTTGAACCTGGGCGGCAGAGGTTGCAATGAGCCGAGATCGTGCCACTGCACTCCAGCCTGGGTGACAGAGTGAGACTCTGTCTCAAAAAAAGAAAAAGAAAAAGAACCTGTTGCCTGTTTGAGGTATCTCAGGCTGATTTGAAGAACATAAACTGGGCCAGGTGTGGTGGCTCACACCTACCTGTAATCCCAGCACTTTAGAAGGGGAAGGTGGGCGGATCACTTGAGACCAGGAGTTTAAGACCAGCCTGGGCAAACATGGTAAAACCCTGTCTCTACTAAAAATACAAAAATTAGCTGGGCGTGGTGGTGCATGCCTGTAACCCCAGCTACTTGTGAGGCTGAAGGCACGAGAATGTCTTGAGCCTGTGAGGCGGAGGTTGTAGTGAACTGAGATTATGCCACTGCACTCCAGCCTGGGCAACAGAGTGAGTACTCTGCCTCAAAACAATCAATCAATCAGTATATAAGCAAGCAACACTAACTGTAAATAATACAAGTTTTCCATGCTGTGAAGGTATGAATTTGAGCCTTTCCCCAGCCTCCTAGGTTACTGAGATATGGTAGTCAAATAATTGGCATCATGGTATACCTGCAGTGGCCTTGCAGCGTTAAACTGGTCAAAAAAATTAATAAAAGTAAACTATATCTTAAATGTAAATTGTCTTCTAGGTTTTTTTTTTTTTGATACTTTCACACAGTTAGTAGAGATAAGATTCATTACCATCTAAAAACAAGAACTTTTTGGAATGCATGAGACTAAAGATAGTGAAATTATCTGAAAAGCCTGCCTTTAAAATATCAACAAACCCTACTCTTTCAAAAATTGCCTTTTTGAGTTTAGTTTTATGGGAAACGAGAGTTATAAAAACCAGATGGATAGTTTATTAGTTACTAATTTCCCCATGATTTCTCTTTTCAGATTAAGTGGTAGAAAGTTTACTAAAAGGGAACCAAAAACTAGTACTGAAAAAAAACCTGAATGACTGAGGGGGGAAAATCTGGTCTAAATATAATGAATAGGTAGAAGTAGCTTGATTGATTGATTGATTGAGACGGAGTCTCACTCTGTCGCCCAGGCTAGAGTGCAGTGGCACAACCTCAGCTCACTGCAACCTCCAGAATAGGTAGAAGCAGCTTTATTTTTTAAAAAATAATCTAAAAAGGTAGAGACAAGGTCTCACTATGTTGCCCAGGCTGGTCTCGAACTATAAGCTCGAGGATCACTAGCTCAAGTGATCCTCCCATCTCCGCCTCCCAAAGTGCTGGGATTTATAGGTGCGAGCCACCACACCCAGCCATAAGTAGCTTTAAATATGGTAGAGTTTTGTGAGAAGCAAGAGGTGTGAGAAGACTCTTAAGTTTGATTAAGACAGTTTAAACACTGGTGTTATATATTAACTTTGTTAATGAAGTATTTTCTTGTCTTTTCTTTACAGTGGTATGTTCAAGCCACTTGTGCAACACAAGGGACTGGTCTGTATGAAGGACTTGACTGGCTGTCAAATGAGCTTTCAAAACGTTAAATGAAACTGGATATCTAACCAAGGACATGTTTGATAAAATTGGCCTAGGCTTGTTACAACAAAATTAGTTTGTATCTTGGTTATTAAACAGTATCTGGGACTCGGTTGGGCAGAATATTATTTTGTTGCCAATTATTGTTTACCAAGTATAATGTTGCTATTTAGCAATTGTGCTTGGTTTTAAAGAAATTCTCCTTGGGAAAAAAGTATCCTTTTTAAATTTTACTTCCCGTAAGTGTAAATGCCTGGACATAGCTATTGTGAAACCTTTAAATAAATTGGTTTGAGTGCTTTTTAAGCCCCAGATAAATAATGTTTTAAAGTTATCCCCTTGCTACTTTACTGATACCTTTATCATTCCTGAGACAGTCTGCTAATTTAAAAATGTAGCATTCCATTTGTATTTATTTCTCTCTCTTGCCAAAAAGATTTTCTAATACTGCTTGTACCAGCCACAGAAAGATCCAAAACACTACTCAGCTCTCTTGCACTGAGGAAATTTTTTCCCCCTACATTGACTCCTGGCCTACATCAGCTAAACTTATACCTTGGTGGGGTTTGGATTTGATAGCTAATTAGTTCTGTGCTGGCTGCAAAGAATTGAGATTTAGATGGTTTTAAATACTCAGCAGATTGTCTTCCTTTATATTGTGTCTTTTTTATGTTGCATGTTGCTTTTGTTATCAGCCTGATTTTTTGCTCAGTATATGAGAGTTCTGCTGATGTTTTGTTTATTGAGCAGACATACCTTCATTAAGAGTTTTTGGAAAACTCATCAAATTTGATGAATACATTTTCTGCATAACCCATTTGGAATTATTCCTAATAAAATGATAAAATACGTAATTGTGTTTGTTCTTTTTGAGTCTTGAAGGTATTTGAAATGTATTTTCTATTTAGCAAACTGCTTGCATATTTTATGTACTGTGAACAGTAATACAGATCCCACTGGTAGGTTACTAATTGTATAAAGTGGAGATATGGGTTGTTTTCATGTGTATAACAGCATGGGGAACACTATTAAAAACTTAGAAGTCAGATCAAGAGTAAAAGGAGGGACTGGCATAGTGGCTCACGCCTGTAATCCTAGCACTTTGGGAGGTTGGGGCAGAAGGGTCACTTGAGACCAGGAGTTGAGAAAAGCTTTGGCAATGTAGTAAGACCCTGTTTCCACTGTTTCTACTTAAAAAACTAAAAACAAAACAGGCCGGGCGTGGTGGCTCAAGCCTGTAATCCCAGCACTTTGGGAGGCCGAGACGGGCGGATCACGAGGTCAGGAGATCGAGACCATCCTGGCTAACACAGTGAAACCCCGTCTCTACTAAAAAATACAAAAAACTAGCCGGGCGAGGTGGCGGGCGCCTGTAGTCCCAGCTACTCGGGAGGCTGAGGCAGGAGAATGGCGTAGACCCGGGAGGCGGAGCTTGCAGTGAGCTGAGATCCGGCCACTGCACTCCAGCCTGGGCGACAGAGCAAGACTCCGTCTCAAAAAAAAAAAAAAAAAAAAAAAAGGTGACTTCTAACTTGTTATTGAAAATAATTGCTTTACTTTTTTTTTTTTTTTTTTTTTGAGATGGAGTCTCACTCTATCACCCAGGCTGGAGTGCAATGGTGTGATCTCGGCTCACTGCAACCTCCGCCTCCCGGGTTCATGTGATTCTCCTGCTTCAGCCTCCTGGGTAGCTGGGATTACAGGTACAAACCACCATGTCCAGCTAATTTTTGGTATTTTTAGTAGAGACGGGGTTTCACCATGTTGGCCAGGCTAATCTTGAACTCCTGACCTCAGGTAGGATTACAGGTGTGAGCCACCACATCCAGCCAAGTGCTTTTCAATGGAGAAAAACTGGAGAGAAAACAAGTGCTTGTACCTTCTGGTAGCTTGTACTTCTGGATGTTTCAATAATGTAAATATTGGTTATCAGCTTTGGTAGAATTAGTATGAAAACTAGATTGAATAACAATAGTCTGTAAGTTCATTACCTGAGGATCCAACAGGGAAAATATATTTCTACTAATATATACATGTGACCTTGCATTCATGGGCCACTATTGGAAGGCTGCTTGGCTGCTGCTGTTTCTTACTATGCTACTTTTAGAGGACTATCCCTTTATCTTAAACGGTTAAATTCTAATAAGATTGTGAGAAATGAATAGCAAAAGTGCTTATCTAGACACAGGCAAAGAAAAATTAAGGTAGCTCTACTATTGGATCCCTGCCAGTATGGCTTCATGTGTTAGAGGGCAGCGGAGTTAGGTTCCTTCCTGACCTTGTCAGTCATTTTTCTATATTGTTCAAATGATACGTTTTCATTTTTTTTTTTTTTTTTGACACGGAGTCGTGCTCTGTCACCCAGGCTGGAGTGCAGTGGCACGATCTCAGCTCACTGCAACCTCTGCCTCCGCATTAGCTGGGACTACAGGCGTGTACCACCACAGCCAGCTATTGTTTTTGTATTTTTAGTAGAGATGGGGGTTCACCATGTGGCCAGGCTCGTTTCAAACTCCTGACCTCAAGTGATCTGCCCGCCTTGGCCTCCCAAAGTGCTAGGATTACAGGCATGAGCCACTGTGCCCGGCCACATTTTCAATTTTATTGGGCATGTAAGTACTTGGTGTTGGACAGCTTACCCCTGCTTTCTGGGAACTCACCAGATTTTGGTCACAGTGTTTTTTTTTTTTTTAGGCTGGGAACTAAAGGGATGTATGAAGCACAGACTAAGAAAGATTTGCCTCCTGGATGGCCCTGAAAAGGCAAGGGATGATGGATTATTATGTATTTTTTAAGGAGGGGTGGCTAAACAACAAATAACACTTTAAAGTGGGCAAAGTATTTCAAAAGACATTTCTCCAGAGAGATATATAGATGGCCAACGAGCACAGGAAAAGATGCTTAACATCATTAACCATCATGGAAATGCAAATCAAAACCACAGTAAGATGCCACTTGACACTAGGATGCCTATAATCAAAAAGATTTATAAAGTGTTGATGAGGATGGAGGGAAATTGGAACCCTCATATTGCTGATGGGAACGCAAAATAGTGCAACTGCTTTCAGTAATAGTTTGGCAGTTCCTCAAAAGGTTATCATAGGACCCAACAATTCCACTCCTTCTGTGTGCCCAAGAGAAACAAAAACACATATTCACTCAAAAACTTGTAAACAAATGTTTATGGCAGCATTATTCATAGAAGCCAGGAAGTGGAAGCAATTCAAATGTCTGTCAACTAATGAATGGACAAATGTGGTATGCCCATAAGATGGAACATTCATCATAAAAACAAACTCCTGAACCTTAAAAACATCCTACGTAAGAGGCCAGTCACAAAAGACTACATAAATTATATGATTCAATTTATATGAAATATCCAGAATAGGCAAATCCACAGAAACAGCTTAAGTTGCTGCCAGGAGCTAGGGGGAATAGGGAGTGACTGCCAAGTGAGTATGCAGCTTCTTTTGGGAGCCAGTCCTTGTCAACTGAGTTGATATGCAGTGACAAAAAGCTCTTAAGGAGAATGGGATTATGTGACATGAGCCACTGCGCTGGCCTGATTCCATTATTTATAATAGAATTATTAAAAATTCTACAGCTTGGACAGAAATACCCTTTCTTGGTTTAAGATACCCAAAACATTATACTTAACCCAGCTTTTCTGAGGAAGGCCACTGTTTATTTCTAACTGATTTTATCTTTGGATGTACCATTTTTCCAAACTATTCCACAGGGGATATAAGAATTATATGCAATAAATCCTTTTATTATTTTATTGTATTTTATTTTTTTGAGACAGAGTCCCGCTTTGTTGCCAGGCTGGAGTGCAGTGGCACAATCTTGGCTCACTGCAACCTCTGCAAGCGATTCTCCTGCCTCAGCCTCCCCAAGTAGCTGGGACTACAGGTGCGCACCACCATGCCCAGCTAATTTTTGTATTTTTAGTAGAGATGGGGTTTCACCATGTTGGCCAGGATGGTCTCGATCTGACCTCGTGATCCACCCACCTCAGCCTCTCAGAGTGCTGGGATTACAGGCATGAGCCACCACACCCAGCACAATAAATCCTTTTAAAAGTGTGTATATCACATCTTAGAATAACTGAGGGAGTACAATTGGAATGTTTGTAACACAAATAAATGCTTGATGTGATGGATACTCAATTTACTCTATCAAAAGAAATATGTCCCACATAAATATATGCATCTACTATGTGCCCATGTTTTTAAAAATTGCTAAATATGTTCTTTTCTGGAGAAAAAATTTGTTTTTAATTATTTTAGAAAAGGGCTAAGTGTGGTGGCTCACACCTATAGTCCCAGTACTTTGGGAGGCTGAAGCAGGAGAGTCATTTGAGCCCAGGAGTTTAAGACCAGTCTGGGCAACATAGAGAGACGCCCATCTCTACAAACAATTTAAAAAATTAGCCAGGCATGGTGGCATGCACCTGTAGTCTCAGTTATTCAGGAGGCTGAGGTGGGAGGATCACTTAAGCCCTGGAGTTTGACGCTGCAGTGAGCTATGATCATGCCACTGTGTTCCAGCCTGGGCAACAGGCTTTAATAAGACTCTGTCTTATTAAAAAATATATATATATGTGCTGACTGGGTGGGGTGGCTCATGTCTGTAATATCAGCACTTTGGGAGGCCGAGGTGGGTGGATTGCTTGAACTCAGAAGTTCAAGACCAGCCTGGGCAACATGGTGAAACCATTTTTTTTTTTTTGTCTGCAAAATATACAAAAATTAGCCAGGTGTTGTGGTGCGTACCTGTAGTCCCAGCTATTTGGGGAGGCCATGGTGGGAGGATTGCATAAGGCCAGGAGGTGGAGGTTGCAGTGATCCGTGATGGCACCACTGCCCTCCAGCCTGGGTGACAAAGCCAGACCCTGTCTCAAAAAAGAAAAGAAAAAAAAAATGTTTATATTATCCAGTATAAGAAAGCCAACTAAATAAAGCCTATCCAATTCCCCTACTGAACCATCCTCAATATATAAGGAACACAAATGGTATGAAACTAGCACAAATGCAACCTAGGAATACTTCAATACACTAAAAAAAAAAGTACGTCAACACTTCATGATAACATCATTAAAGTGAATTACTGGGCAAAATGGACTGTTACATAAATGCTTTGACATACAATCAATACATAAATTGGACAGAAGATGGAGATGAATAATTCAGTTTTCTGTGAAATTTTGGAAGGAAATTTTAAATTATGAATAAAAATCTAACACTGACAATATGAACATGTATTTTTGACAACCCAGAGTTTACTAGCATAGCAGATAAGTGAACAGATTTAGTATGTTTAAGATTATTTTGCCATTTATATATAAAATTAAAATTTAGACCGGGTACCATGGCTCATGCCTGTAATCCCAGCACTTTGAGAGGCTGAGGCAGGCAGATCACCTGAGGTTAGGAGTTCAAGACCAGCCTGGCCAATATTGTGAAACCCTGTCTCTACTAAAAATACAAAAATTACAAGCAGTACTGTATGGTTATTTTGAAGTTAGTGCTAAGAAAAAAAAAATCAAGTTAATACAGCTCTAGTATTTTCAACATTTAAAAAAGTACTTTAGCATAAAGTGAGAACACAGAACTTATATATTACCCATGTCAGTTAGAGCTGTTAAAAATTGTCCTCCCTACCCCCTACAAAATGAAATCTAGAGTGGTTTTTTGGAGACAGGGTCTTGCTCTGTCACCCAGGCTGGAGTGCAGTGGCACCTTGATCATAGCTCACTGCAGGCTTGACCTCATGGGCTCAAGTGATCCTCTGGCCTCAGCCTCCTGAACAGCTGGGACTACAGGCATGTACCACCATGCCTGGCTAACTTCAGTTTTTGCAGATATAGGGTCTCACAATGTTGTCAAGGCTTGTCTTGAACTCCTCAGCTCAAGTGATCCTCCTGCCTCAGCCTCCCAAAATGTTGGGATTACAGTCATGAGCCACTATGCCTGTCCCTCTATACAGTGTTGCCTTCCCATACTATATTAAAGCAAATTATTAAAATTCTCAAAACATTGAAATAGTTTTTATTGGTGTTTAGAAAATTCATTTTCAGGGCAGGGGGAGGGATAGCATTAGGAGAAATACCTAATGTAAATGACGAGTTAATGCATGCAGCAAACCAACATGGTACATGTATACCTATGTAATAATCCTGCACATTGGGCACATGTACCCTAGAACTTAAAGTATCATTAAAAAAAAAAAAGAAAGAAAATTAGTTTTCAGGTATGAAAGGTTGGGCTTGTAATTTCAACTACTTGGGAGGCTGAGGCAGGAGGATCACTTGAGCCCAAGAGTTTGAGGCTGTAGTAAGTTATGACTGCACCCCTGCACTCCAGCCTGGGTAACAGTAAGACTCTATTTCTTAAAAAAATTATGCTGAGAATATTTTCTGAGGTGTCACATGGGTCTTGTGATAAACTAATAATGCAAACTTTTATTTTTCATTATATATAAATATTGGATTTATCCCAACCAAACTAGTTTGCAGGGAACCCTCTGCCTTTATTTCACGGCTGGAGAATGACATACAAAAGATGCCAATTTCTACCGTAAGAACTTTCCACAGTAGCGTTCTTTGGACCTTCTCTCCCTTGTGTTAGGCTCCTCAGAAATCTATCTCAGACTGAAACTAGCACATTCTGATGAGATCATAGCTTAGTACTCAGAAAAGTCACCACTCAGTGAAATTCTTGAAATTTTGAAACAACTGATTTTAGCATTCAGAATTTCAAAAAGAACATACAGCCAGAAACGATTGTTCACTAATGAATTATGATTATTGGCAGACACATGTGCTGTAGCGGCAACTGTGTAAGAGTTCATTTTAACAGAATAATATGTTCTGAAATACTCTTTTATAATCAATATAAAATTTTAGAATGTTAATTCCTATAGCAAGAACTTGTGACATTATAAAATGTGGTTTACCATAGAAAGTCACTAGATTTCCCATGTTTTCTTAAAATTAAATGTACTAAAAAATCCAAATGTAATAGAAAAATGCAATCACACGGGTGCTTTAAACATATTTCTGAATAACACTGCCTTCTAACTCGTGAGTACAAAGAAATGTGTATGCTATTTATACATTTTCTTAGTGTTCTCTACCTTTGGACTCCAATCATTTTAACCTATCTGTATATTGGAGATTTGATCAGAGTGTATGGCACTTCACAATAACATTCCATGTCCTAATAATCTGAAATGCCTGTATACAATCTGAGTATATTGTTTAGTCAGAAAATATCAAAATTAAGGATATAGGACATGGAATGTCTGTTAAGTGCTGAGTTTTCTGACTACAGTTTAATCTAGCCAGTGCTAATGTGGAACCTGTATGCTTTTTTCATGGGCATGTTTGAATTTTTTCTTTCAAAATGTATCTCAACTTTTTGATGTCACACTTTGTTTTCTCCCAAGTCACTCTAAGGGTTCTATCAACATCTTTGTTTGAAAGCAGACCAAAAATGTATTTTTAAAATGAAAAAAAAATTCACAAGAGAATCAAGTTTTGGTTTTAATCTATTATTTACATATTTGTAAACTGCTGTTAAAATGCTATCAAAAATGTTATTTAGGAAGGCACAATTTGGTAGCATCAATTTTTTATTTATAGTTTTTTCTAAACAAGATCCCAAGAAACTTCCACTTTAATTTTTCCCTTGGAGTACTTAAAGTACTTCAAGGTTCAATGTCAAGTGCAGATAAAACCCCGTCATTTTCAAACTTACTAAGAGTTAACAATACATTTGATAGTGAGCAGAATATGAAAGTACAGATATTACCAAAAGAGGAAAATTTTATGATACTGGGTTCAGAGATTAAAGAATTTGAAACAAGGGCTTTCATGACTGGGGAAAATCAAAGCTTTTCTTGAAGGGGTGGTCTTTTAATACTCGAGCTATTAATTAAATGCAGAAATGAGATAACATAGTTATCCTGAACATCAAAAAAGCAACAGCTAATACAGCTAATGCATTATAAATAATGTGTTTGATAATTGGATTAGTAAAGCCTGGTTACCACTCTAGGCTAGACACTAATCAGTATAACCATTTGTAGTTTCTAATTTTAAAAAGTTTGGCTTCATATTTAAATTTCCTTTTACTATATATATATTACATATATACACACTGTTGTCTGTAACTCAAACTATAATGCTTGTCTATAAAAAGAATAGGTTTTTTATTTCAGAGATGCTTAAAAGTCCCACTACTCACCCTTTTTCTTGTTTATAAAAACCAACAATTTTGAAATTACTTCTAGCGTAGAAATGCTCAATGATTCACCCAAAATTTCAAGCCCATATCAGTAGGTAGTTTCTCATAAATGAATATATTGTGCTGTATTTTCTAATATCATATGGTCAAATACCCTGTTCATTTATGAATATTTTTCATGGGCAAGAGTAACTAAAGACAATAGGATCAAGTTGGATATGTTGCTACTGACTTTGAATACTAAATTGTGCTTGCATCCTAAAAATTAAAATGAGCTGCAGTAAGAATTAGAATATAAACTGTGTTCATTTGTTCCATACACTAAAAACTAAAATCCTAAAAATAAGAATGAAAATACCTTACTTGTTCATTGAGAAATGAAAGATGAGAAGCAATAACAATTGGTGACGATTTATTTTTATCTTTTGTTAAAGCTCTGAAATTGTAGTAAATCACTAACTAAATTGAGGTAGAGGTAGACCCTAATGTTACTCCTTCCATGTGTCAAGTCTCTCCACCTTAGGTCTCTAAGGTCACCTATAACTTAAGTCTCTCACCCTTAACTTACATACATTTTCCCTCTTAGTACATAAGCATGATTCATTTTGGAATGTGTTGTCATGAAAGAAAAATTAAGATCATTCAAATGGTACTTTAAAAATTCTGAACTACTAGCTAAAAAAATTCTCTTATAAAAATATACACAAGGGCCAGGCTCGGTGGCTCACGCCTGTAATCCCAACACTTTGGGAGGCCGGGACGGGTGGATCACCTGAGGTCAGGAGTTCGAGACCAGCCTGGCCAACGTGGCGAAACCCCATCTCTACTAAAAATACAAAAATTAGCCAGATGTGTTGGCGCATGCCTGTAATCCCAGCTACTTGGGCGACTGAGGCAGGAGAATCGCTTGAACCCAGGGGGCGGAGGTTGCAGTGAGCCGAGATCACGCCATTGCACTCCAATCTGGACAACAAGAGCAAAACTCTGTCTCAAAAAAAAAAACAAAAAACAAAAAACAAAACCAAACAAAAAACCACGATAATTCAATCTTCTTTTTCTGAGAGTCTTAAATTGGAGAAAAATAATATAATTTTCTATCTTGCTAGTAATAAATATATTTGTTTCTCCTCCAAGTGTAGAGGAAAACGAGGAAAGAGAAGCTGTATGATGCAAACATTATCAACAGTTTCATTAATGAAGACATCGGGAACATAACTAGGAGGGTTGAACATTTTACCATTCCTCTTTGAAGGTTACATATAAGCTTTGATTCATATTAAATTTTCTGCTAAAATAACTACTTCCTTTTCAGACTTCAATTCCATTAAATACACATCTATTTCCATTTTAAATCACATACAAGTGCTATGTGATCAGAGGGATGGGAAACACTAGGTAAGGCCTGGTGGGTGGTAACTTCTTCATGACTAGGTAATGGAATCACCTGTTCAACCTCTAAAGCATTTAAGTCAATGAAAATGTAATCTAGACATCCATGAAAGCCACCAACATAATTTGTGTAAGCAGGTTCACCACAAGCACTTTTCAGCTTGAAGAAATGCGTAAGAGACATGTTGCATCTTTCCTCCTCCCCATTGGAAGCCCAGTCTTCATGATCCTCTGGAATGCTGCCATTGATGACAAAATGATACATTCCTGTTGATGGTGTACTATTAAAGTCCCCACAAAATATAACTGGTATGCCAGGATACAGATCACATGAAACATGTCTAATGTGAGCCAAGGCTACTGCCATTTGAATGAGGCGAATATACCCACCTATGAATATAAAAAACATTAATGTAAGTATTTTTTAAAGTTGTCTTTAAGTTAAAACGGAAAAACTACACAAATTACAATTTCTGGGTGACATTCAAGATATATATTTGTGTAAAACAGCTTTAAACAACCTTAAGCGCGTTTAAGTCACTTGTGATACCAAATAAAACCTACCTTTAGGATGCCAGTAAAGATGGGTATTAGCAACACATATCCTTTTAGAAGAGTCCTTTGTAGACTGAAGAACTGAAACCTAAAATAAACGGAAAGTGCCAAGAGTTCAGTTGGCATTTGCAAATCTCCTGAATGTTTTTGTTCGTTTGGTTGGTTTTTTTTTTTTTTTTTGAGATGGAGTCTCACTCTGTCAACCAGGCTGGAGTGCAGTGGTGTGATCTCGGCTCACTGCAACCTTCGCCTTCCGGGTTCAAGCGATTCCCCTGCCTCAGCCTCCCGAGTAGCTGGGACTACAGGCGCCTGCCACCACGCCTGGCTAATTGTTTTGTATTTTTAGTAGTGACGGGGTTTCACCGTGTTAGCCAGGATGATCTCGATCTCCTGACCTCGTGATCCGCCTGCCTTGGCCTCCCAAAGTGCTGGGATTACAGGCATAAGCCACCACGCCCCACCTGTTTTTATCTAAGACTATATGGCGAACTAACGTTTTCTTCCATCTCCTTCCCGTGATTAACTAGGACTGCAATCATGAAATCCGACTTGTTATTTAAGTTTCAGGATCTACATGACTAGGTTCAGTGTAACATGTTTTAATAATAGTCCAATATAGGCCGGGCGCGGTGGCTCACGCCTGTAATCCCAGCACTTTGGGAGGCTGAGGCGGGCGGATCACGAGGTCAGGAGATCGAGACCATCCTGGCTACCATGGTGAAACCCCAAACCCCGTCTCTATAAAAAAAATTAGCCGGGCGTGGTGGCAGGCCCCTGTAGTCCCAGCTACCCGGGAGGCTGAGGCAGGAGAATCGCTTGAACCCGGGAGGGAGAAGTTGCAGTGAGCCGAGATCGCGCCACCGTACTCCAGCCTAGGTGACAAAAACTCTGTCTCAAAATAGTAATAATAATAATAATAGTCCAATATATAAAGCTAGTAATATAAACAATACATTTTACATGACAACACTTTGACTGGAGAAAGTGTTTTCAAGCGTAAGCACAGGCTTTGGAGTCAGGCAGACCTGCGTTTGAATACTCATTTTACCATTTATAGCAATGTGACCTGCAGAAAGATGCTTTTCTAGCCACTTTCTTTTTCTTTTTTTTTTTTTTTGCGACGGAGTCTCGCTCTGTCTCCCAGGCTGGAGTGCAGTGGCCAGATCTCAGCTCATTGCAGGCTCCGCCTCCGGGGTTTACGCCATTCTCCTGCCTCAGCCTCCCGAGTAGCTGGGACTATAGGCGCTCGCCACCTCGCCCGGCTAGTTTTTTGTATTTTTTAGTAGAGACGGGGTTTCACCGTGTTAGCCAGGATGGTCTCGATTTCCTGACCTCGTGATCCGCCCGTCTCGGCCTCCCAAAGTGCTGGGATTACAGGCTTGAGCCCCCGCGCCCGGCTCTAGCCACTTTCGTACTGGTAATCACTGACAATACCATCCACCTCATGGACTGTTGTGTGAAGTCAATTAAATGATCTTATATGGTGCATGAAACACCTTAGGTGCTCAAAAAATGGTAGATGCTCTTCTTGCTATGAACAAAATCAATTACTTAAAAACTTTAACACACAAATGACATCTATAAAATGGGAACAGGTGAATTACTGTGAAGATTCAATGAGCCTATGATTTAAAAACTAGTTTATATTTATGGAGCACTTCAAAACACACCACGCTCTTAAATTTTAAGTACTTTAAAATGTGCCAGAACAGTGCTTGGCAAGTAGTAAAAAAACATTAGCTACTATTGTTCTTGCATTTAGCATGTGTCCCTCTCGCTAGATTGTAAGCACTGTAAAAGTCCCTGCTTGTCTTGTTCAAGGCAACCTGCAGTGTGGCAAGCACACGAGAGGTGTTCAAAAAATATCTGCTGAGGCCGGGCGTGGTGGCTCACGCCTGTAATCCCAGCACTTTGGGAGGCCGAGGTGGGCGGATCACAAGGTCAGGAGATCGAGACCATGGTGAAACCCCGTCTCTACTAAAAATAGAAAAAATTAGCCGGGCGCAGGGGCGGGCGCCTGTAGTCCCAGCTACTCGGGAGGCTGAGGCAGGAGAATGGCGTGAACCCGGGAGGCGGAGCTTGCAGTGAGCCGAGATTGCGCCACTGCACTCCAGCCTGGGCGACAGAGCGAGACTCCGTCTCAAAAAAAAAAAAAAAAAAAAAAAAAAATCTGCTGAATGAATGAAGAGTAAACTTTGTGCTAAAGATACCAGGGCAAACACACCTTTCAACAGTATCTGGATACTTTCGTCGCAGTTTTAACCCCCACCTCATTCCTCGCCTTCCTGGCCCCTAAAAGTGGGGCAGTATGTGAAGAGATGGGCGGAGCTACTTTACCTGAAGAACAGAAGATCTCTGGAGCACCTTCTCCTGCGCTGATGGGTACAAAACTAGTTTCTCCAGCAGTTCTTTGTGAAGTGGGTCGGATTCGAGGGCTTCGTAGAATGAAATGTCATGCTGGCTAAGAAGGCTGAATTTAGACTTTCGGTAGAAAGTGGCCAGGCCTTCGTGCTGCTTGATTCGAAACACCCCCTCGAGCCCAAAGGCCTCTAGGGCGGGTACCAAGCTGTCAGAAAACACTGCGCGGTCAACCTCCTGCAAACAGATGACATCGGCGTTGTAGCCGGTAAGTTCCTTCTGGATAAGGTTCTGGCGGTAGTCGAGCTCCAGGGCGTAGGGGGCACAGTATGGGTACAGGACCGTTCGCGAGAACTCAGTCTGCGCGTACGTGTCTGCCAGGATGTTGTAAGAGACAGTGCGGATGAGAGCGTCCTCCGTCACCTTCTTCGTGTAGAGATGCCGGTGGTCAAAAGTGCAGGTGCCAGGACCAGCCTCTACCACACACACACTTTCCAACTCCCGGCTGGGCCCAAAGCGCTGCCCATCGCCTGGGGTGCAATGAAGCTTGAGCCTTAGCCCGATGTCGGCATTGGACGGGGTGTAGACACGCTCCTCCACCTCAGTCTCAGTCCAAGAAGAAGAAGGTGAGGAGGAAGACAATGACGACGGGACACCGACCTCGGGCTCCGCCGCTCCGGGCTTGGCTTCCTTATACCAGCGGAAAAGGGAGCTGGCGGGATCCCCAAATTCAAGGCTGAGTTTGGGGCACACAGGGAACCCGGCCATGATGTAGCGCGGCAACTGCAGTTCCGTGAAGGCGGGCGGGTTGCGCTCCACCTTGTACTTAACATCGCCGATCTGCAGCACAGCACCGTCTTGCCAGGCATCCACGTTGAGCACGTCCTCAGCCACTGCCTCTTCCCGGTAGTACAGCTTTACCACGGGCTCGCAGGCCACAGCCGGCTCGGGCCCCGGCCCTGAACAGGCCGCACCGCCGCTCGCATTTGGCCGGCTCTTCCTGCTCTTCTTGGCGGCGGCCGCCTTAGCGTGACCCTTTAGGGCATTGGTAGCGATGCGGCTGAGGACTCGACCCAGCGGCTCGCTCTGGTCGCGCTGCATGTTCTTGTGGCTGCCATCAGCCAAAGCGAATGACAGGCTCAGTTTGGGTTCCGAGGGTACACAGCGCACTACAGCGCGCTCCATCGCTCCCGCCGCTGTCTGGCTCTGCGCTTCAGCCGGGCTCAGCTTCTCCAGCGCCGTCCGGATCACCCGAAGCGCGGCGCGGGCGCCTGGGAGCCTCCACATGAACCTGGTGGCCTAGCGGTCGACGAGACCCGCGGCCGATCAGCGGCCTACTGTCAGGTGGAGCTGAGGAGCAGAGGCCGCCGGCTTTGACTCATTCAGACCTCGCGACTTCCGGCTAGCGAACAGAGAGAATGAAGTGCTTCCGCCTCGCACTTTCGCCAGGCGCGTGGGCACTCATGTTTCTAATTGTCTGAAGATTAATTTTTATCTACAAGATAGGTCAGAATTATAGGGAAGTGAAGAAAATATAAAGGTATCAGAGGAAAATACTAGATTCCACGGTTTTGTCGAAAGTGCATGCTAGTGACGGTAGGGCATGCCCTCCAAGCCGGAAGTGGATGGGGTGGTGTCACGTGTTCCGCTTTGCTAGATGAGGTGGGCGTCAGTGTTGGAATCTTGGCTGGCGAACTCTCCTCCCTGCGCACCAGGCTGGACTGCGCTAGGACGTGGAAGCCTCCACCTGGATTGCGAGCTTTACTCGCAGTGTGGAAGGTGTTGCCTATTTCATCTCCACAGCTTTGCCGACCCTGATCGCTCGTTTCGGTGGCGTGGTGGGTTCACCCCAGGCTGAGCCAGCGCCTACGCACTGAGCAGAGCCTTTGTGGTAGTTAATAACGAACGATATACAATAACTCCATTTAGTGAGCGCAGGCTATAAGAGAAACGCTACACACACTATCTTATTTAAGCCTCATAGTTCTTATGAGGTGGGTCTGTATCCATCGCTTTACAAATGCGGAGTCCCGAGATATTACCTGTTCAGGGTCACCCAACTATTAATTGGCAGAAACAAATAGTACTGACAAACTGCGGAAGCCTGTTTGTTATTTTTTATTAGAGACGGGTTGTCACTTTGACGCCCAAGCTGGAATGCAGTGGCCTTGTAGCTCACTGCCCCCTCGAACTCTAGGGCTCCTGTGATCCTCCCTCCTCACCCTCCCAAGTACAAATAGGCAAGAGCCACCCAGTGTTTATTTTTAGTTAGTAAAGAGATGGGAAAACTCTATTTAGAGTGACTACATTTAACAAATAAAATTACAGAATCTCAGTTAAATTCGAATTTCAGATAAGGAATAATAATGGGGCATACTTATATTAAGAAATAGTTGTTTATCTGTTTATTTTTTTATTTTTTAGGTAGGGTCTTGCTTTTTCGCCCAAGCTGGAGTGCAGCTGTGCAATCTTGGCTCACTGCAACTTCGGCTTCCAGAGTTCAAGCGATTCTTGTGCCTCAGCCTCCCAAGTAACTGGGCCTCCCAAGGCACACACCACCATGCCCAGCTAATTTTTGTATTTTAGTAGAGAAGAGCTTCACCATGTTGCCTGGGCTGGTCTCGAACTCCTGGCCTCAAGCAAGCCCCCCGCCTTACCCTCCCAAAACTCTGGGATAACAAGTGAAAACCGCCTCCCCTGGCCTAAGGAATCGTGCACTTCATTGCTATTTCTTTCAAAGGTCTTGAAGAAGCCGGGCGCAGTGGCTCATGTCTGTAATCCCAGCACTTTGGGAGGCTGAGGCGGGTGGGTTGCCTAAGGTCAGGAGTTCGAGACCAGCCTGGCCAACATAGTGAACCCCCCGTCTCTACTAAAAGTACAAAAAATTAGCTGGGCGTAGTGGCACACGCCTGTAATCCCAGCTACTAGGGAGGCTGAGGCAGGAGAATCGCTTGAACCTGGGAGGCGGAGGTTGTAGTGAGTTGAGATCGCGCCATTGCACTCCAGCCTGGGCAACAAGAAAAAAAAAAAAGAAAAAAAGGAAAAAGGCCTTGAAGAACAAATGAATTGCTTTACCTGTAGACCAGAAAGGTCCAGTGTGATGAGTACGGTGAGACCAGGGGAGAGTAGCAGATAAGAAAGATATGCATCCACCAGATTGTGTAGTGCATTCTAAGCCATAGTATGAAGTTCTGGATTTCTTCTAAGAGGGCCATTAGAGTTGTTTTGCTTGCAATTATACAAAAGCTTTAATTTTCATTTTCTTGAAAGGCGAAAAGCTAAAAACATTTGGTTTTAATTGCAGGAAAAAAAGGTGTTTGATACTGTAATTGTCATTGGCAGCCATATAAATTTTTTAAATTTTTCTTTATTTTTGAGATGGAGCCTCACTTTGCCACCCAGGCTGGAGTGCAGTGGTGTGATCTTGGCTCACTGCAGCCTCCACCTCCTGGGTTCAAGTGATTCTCATGCCTCAGCCTCCCAAGTAGTTGAGATTACAGGTGTGCACTGCCATGCCTGGCTAAGTTTTGTATTTTTAGTAGAGATGGAGTTTCACTATCTCTACTAAATATGGTGATATGCCGTCTCTACTAAAAATGCAAAAGTTAGATGGGGTTTCACCATCTCTACTAAACATGGTGAAACCCTGTCTCTACTAAAAATACAAAAATTAGCCAGGCGCAGTGGCAGGCACCTGTAATCCCAGCTACTCAGGAGGCTGAGGCAGGACAATCTTTTGAACCCGAGAGGCAGAGGTTGCAGTGAGCCGAGATTGTGCCACTGCCCTCCAGCCTCGAAGACAGAGTGAGACCCTGTCTTGGAAAAAAAATATATATATATCTTCAGAATTTAATTTAGACATTTTGCCTGCATCAATTGGTCAGACAGATTTATGCTTTCTTTGCTAGATATTTTAAAGTCATAAAACTATTGCTTCCATGATATTTTTAATATTTGGCTTGATTTGTGTATAAGTTAAAACTATGAGGACTGGCTGCTGGGCTCCCCTGAAACCTTGCGCACATTTTGATATGAGCTTTTGTCTTTGGCTTTAGGCCTCTGGATTCTGAGATGTAGACAGGTGGCCATGGTGAAGCCTGGAAACGTGTGTCTGTATCACCTGGACCACCAGCTGCGTGTAAAGCTGAGTGCAGTATTGCCCTGTCCTCCTTGGCGCAACTCTGCATCCTTGTAATGTTGGGAGGGGTTGGAACCTCCACCATCATCTTCACAGCTTTATCCTCTGTACTGGCCTCTATACCTGGTATGTAAATCCAGGACATAGATGGGCTCTGCCCTTCATAGCTGTCCTGGATGCCACATGGATACTCAGGAACAGGATGACTGGGGTTGGAGAAGGGCAAGGGATATTGGGAAAAGTACCTGCGTCCAATATCTGAAAGACCTTGGTTAAGATGAGACTGGCTGATGCAGGGTTAGGTTAGTTTTGTGTTTTCTTTGCTCTTTATTTTATTTATTTATTTTTTGAGATGGAGTTTCACTCTTGTTGCCCAGGCTGGAGTGTAATGGCATGATCTTGACTCACTGAAAACCTCTGCCTCCCAGGTTCAAGCGATTCTTCTGCCTCAGCCTCCCGAATAGCGGGGATTACAGGTATGCACCACCACACCCAGCTAATGTATTTTTAGTAGAAACAGGGTTTCTCCATGTTGGTCAGGCTGGCCTCAAACTCCCCACCTCAGGTCATCCACCTGCCTTTGCCTCCCAAAGTGCTGGGATTACAGGCCTGAGCCACCGCACCCAGCCACTTTTTATTTTTTTTAAGACAGAGTCTCACTCTGCCACCCAGGCTGGAGTGCAGTGGCAACATGATAGTTCACTGCAGCCTTGAACTCCTTTGTCTCCAACTTTAGGTACACGCCACTGCATTGAACTAATTGTTTTGTATTTGTTGTAGAGATAGGGGATCCCACTATGTTGCCCAAGCTGGTCTCAAATTCCTGGGCTCAAGCGATCCATCTGCGTCAGCCTCCCAAAGGGCTGAAATTAGCAGTGAGACACTATACCTGGTGGCTTTGTTTTTTCAAAATAAATAACTTTCTAGAATGGAAGGGGCTTAATGAAAATAAATAAATTAATTAATTAATTAAATAAATGACTAGTTTTGCTTTCCATAAGCAAGTGAAATATAGTTAAGAACAAGTACATTAGATAAGTGTGAATGTGATAAGCATCTACAAATAAACTTGTCATGGTTTCAAAAACTTTTTCAGTAATTTAAAATCTTAAAGTCATGCTGTATTAAATGAAGTAATAGATAATTATAAATTGTATTGGCTGAGCACAATGGCTCATGCCTTTAATCCCAACACTTTGGGAGGCTGAAATGGGAGGATCATTTGAGCCCTGGACAACATAGTGAGACCCCCATCTCTTTTTTTTTTTTTTTGAGACGGAGTCTTGCTCTGTCGCACAGGCTGGAGTGCAGTGGCATGATCTCGTCTCACTGCAAGCTCTGCCTCCCGGGTTCACACCATTCTCCTGCCTCAGCCTCCTGAGTAGCTGGGATTACAGGCACCTGCCACCACGCCCAGCTAATTTTTTTGTATTTTTTAGTAGAGACAGGGTTTCACCGTGTTAGCCAGGATGGTCTCGATCTCTTGACCTTGTGACATGCCCACCTCAGCCTCCCAAAGTGCTGGGATTACAGGGGTGAACCACTGTGCCCAGCCCAAGACCCCATCTCTTAAAAAAAAAAAAAAAGTAAAATGTCTGAGTTATTTCTAAGTAAGTGAAAACACTGAAACATTAATTATTAAACGTAAGTTTAAGTTTATATACTTCGACATCTTTTTTTTCATTTTTCCCACTTATTCTGAAGTTCTGTTTTCATTTTTTTGATGTCTTGTTTCATATGATATAGAAAGCTAAATGTATTTGGATCCATTAATAACATATTGAGAAAACATATCTTTTTAGAAATTATTAAGTGGCTCTTGTCTGTAAATACTGATATAAAACAATTCAAAATTACTGACTTCCTGGGTTTTCACTAGAAATTAGGGTTACTAAGAGTTAAAGTTCAAATTAATATATGTAATTAAAACTACTAAAAGTAAGAAATAATTTTGTGGCCAGGTGTGGTGGCTCATGCCTGTAATCCCAGCACTTTGGGAGGCCAAGGCAGGCGGATCACCAGGTCAGGAGATCGAGACCATCCTGGCTAACATGGTGAAACCCCATCTCTACTAAAAATACAAAAAATTAGCCAGGCGTGGTGGCAGGCACCTGTAGTCCCAGCTACTAGGGAGGCTGAGGCAGGAGAATGGTGTGAACCCGGGAGTTGGAGGTGGCAGTGAGCTGAGATCACGCCACTGCACTCCAGCCTGGGCGACAGAGCGAGACTCCATCTCAATCAATCAATCAATCAAT